CGTTTCCTGAGCCTCTGTCAACACGAGAGAAACCACTTTGCGACGAGGGGTTTTGCAGGAAACGTCTACCCTGGTGTCGTGTGCCTGTTTCCTAAGCTCCTGCACGGTTCCGAACCGGGGAATCTCACCCTGAGAAACTCCCAGCCTGGGGCCGCTGGCGTCCGCCATCGTGGCGATCTCCAGCGAGTCCAGTTCTGCTCGTGGGCGAAGCTGATCACCTGGATCTGGCCAAACCGATCTGCGTTGAGTTAGTGCTGTCTGTGGCCTGACACATGGGTCTGCTCACACAGGTTTCGTGACTGATATAACCACAGTGAATGACACTGGCAAGGAAGGCAAGGAAGCAAGACCATGAAAGAACATTCAAAATCCTACCAAAGGGCGCTTTTGATAGTTTTAGCCTACAAAAATGATTATTTTGATCCCTTAATATAGAACAAATGATTATTAGAAACAGTAGAGAGAGTAAGAAAGAGAAACAGATTACTGTCTATGTATTTAAATAAACCAATACAAAATAGGAAGAAAAGGAAACGAAAAGGAAAGGAAAGGAAAGGAAAGGAAAGGAAAGGAAAGGAAAGAAAGGAAAGGGAGGAAGGAAGGAAAGGAAAGAGAAAGAGAAAGGAGAGAGAAGCCAAGGCCCAGCTGACCCCTGCTTGTAGACCATGCACTTGGAGGACCACCCTGAATTCCTGACCTGGTCGTCACTATGACATTCCACACACGGTTCAGGTTGTTGCCATAATGGCTCAGGTAGCCGGGGATGGCAGGAGGTTCTCTCTAGTGGCTCCAAGGCTTGGCGCACACCTCTGAGAGCTCCCTGGTCCTGAATCTAGCCTTTCTGAGTGAATCCAGGTACCATTTTCTTTCCAAGGTCCTGTCGCTTCCTGTGGTGCTGCAAGGAATTCAATTATACCCTAATTTCCTGGAGGAGACCCAGGCCCGGGAAGCTCCCCAACCTTCCTTCTCGTCAGTCACTCCAGCCCTCTAACATGAAGCCTTCGTCACCACCCTCTCTGCTCTCAATAGCTGAGCCTTTTGAATGACTAAAGCTGGGAGGGGGTTAACCCCGGGTACAGACACCTGCTGCTTTTAGACCTTTCAGTGTGCAGGATGAGTGCATGTGCGTGTGTGTGTGTGGGGGGGGATGAGTGCATTTGTGTGCGAATGTGTGGGATTAGTGTGTGTGTGTGTGTGTGTGCAGGATGAGTTCATGTGTGCATGTGTGCAGTATGAGTGCATGTGTGCATGTGTAGGATTAGTGTGTGTGTGATTAGTGCATGTGTGCGTGCGCATGTGTGAGATGAGTGCATGTGTGTGTGCGTGTGCAGGATGAGTGCATGTGTGTATGTGCGTGTGCATGTGTAAGGCCTTTTGGAAGGTGGGTTCCCTGCCTGCAATCTGGCGTCTATGTTCCATTCCATTTTCCCTGGCTGCCAAGAAGGGTTGGCTCTGGGAGGTGGAGTCATGTTAGGCCTGAATCGTTAGTGCATAATTCACTGTAAGAAAACAATAGTCTGTGTAGAATGACAGACACTTAAAATGTTTGCTGATGTAACGCCTTAGTTGGTTGGATAGTCAGATGGATAGATAGATGGGTGGATAGATAGATGGATGGATGGATGAATAGATGGATGGATGGATAGATGGATGGATAGATGGATGGATGGATGGATAGATAGATAGATAGATAGATAGATAGATAGATACATAGATGAATAGATGGATGGATGAATAGATAGATGGATGGATAGATGGACGGATGGATAGATATATGGACGGATAGATGGATGGATAGATGGATGGATAGATAGATAGATGGATGGATGGATGGATGGATGGATAGATAGATAGATGGATGGATAGATAGATGTATAGATGGATGGATAGATGGATGGATGGATGGATAGATGGATAGATGGGTGGATGGATGGATGGGTGGATGGTTGTATAGATAGATGGATGGATGGATAGATAGATGTATAGATGGATGGATAGATGGATGGATGGATAGATGGATAGATAGATGGATGAATAGATAGATGGATGGATAGATGGATGGATAGATAGATGGATAGATGGATGGATGGATGGATAGATAGATAGATGGATGGACAGATAGATGTATAGATGGATGGATAGATGGATGGATAGATGGATGGATGGATAGATGGATAGATAGATGGATGGATAGATAGATGGATGGATAGATAGATGGATGGATAGATAGATGTATAGATGGATGGATAGATAGATGGATAGATGGATGGATGGATGGATGGATGGATGGATAGATAGATGGATGAATAGATAGATGTATAGATGGATGGATAGATGGATGGATAGATAGATGGATGGATGGATAGATGTATAGATGGATGGATAGATAGATGGATGGATAGATGGATAGATAGATGGATGGATAGATAGATGGATGGATGGATGGATCGATGGATGGATGGATGGATAGATGGATGGATAGATAGATGTATAGATGGATGGATAGATAGATGGATGAATAGATAGATGGATGGATGGATAGATGGATAGATAGATGGGTGGATAGATGGATGGATAGATAGATGTATAGATGGATGGATAGATGGATGGATAGATAGATGGATGGATGGATAGATGGATAGATAGATGGGTGGATAGATGGATGGATAGATAGATGGATGGTTAGATGGATGGATAGAGAGATGGATATATGGATGGATGGATTCATGGATGGATGGATGGATAGATGGATAGATGGATGGATGGATGGATAGATGGATGGATGGATAGATGGATGGATATATAGATGGATAGATAGATAGATGGATGGATAGATAGATGAATAGATGGATGGATAGATAGATGGATAGATGGATGGATAGCTACATGGATAGCTACATGGATAGATACATGGATAGATAGATGAATGGATAGATGAGGATAGATAACTTTTACAAATGGGACAATTTAGGCAACAGACTGCAGGCCTGTCCTTGCTGTTCAGCAAACTTGACAAGGAGAGGCTGTTGTAAACTACATAATAGATAATGCAGTGCAGATGGTGGAATGTTGCAACGTGAGCCACTTGGCCCTTTTGCAAAATGAAAATTAATCTGTCTGAGGTACACCCCCCGCCCTGCCCCCAGGATCCAGCAGAAGCCAAGTGGTGGCTGCCCAGCTGGGAAGGGCCGCCTAGGCCTTGGACAGGGAATGGTGTTTGTGGGGGAGGGGCAGCCAGGGGAGGGGTGTGAACTGCTCAGGACCCAACTCGAGATCCTTTGTAGCATATCAAGGAAAGAAACAGACATCACTAAGAAAACACCAATGTTAACCGATTTTTTTTTTGTTCAGTATATGTGACGCTTGTCATTTGCCATCCTCCTCTCCCTATTATGTTATTTCTGTGTTTTCAGATAATATTTGTAGAAAGAACAATATGTTCTTACTACAGATCTAACTAATTTATTCAAATATGTTTTCGTTACATTGTTTACATACTACTTTTTGCCTGGTTTTGCCTATAATTTGGAGTAATCAGTGACTTTTTCCACTCCATTACTCTACTTAACTACGCATAAATCCTTTTAGAAAAAACACTTCCCGTCTTTACTTTCTGTCTGTGGGTCTCCTACCGAGGGCTGCCTCACAGTAGATGCCTCCTTCTAGCTCACCGGCCTGAGCTCTGTCCCTGGTTTGTCCCCAGTGCACAGGGAGGCTGAAGATTCTTTTTTTAACTATGTATATTGCTTCCCTAAACATCTCCATTCCACTCTTTTTTTTTTTATTTTTTAAGAGTGTAAATCAAGTGTTTAATTCTTGGTAAACAATTTTGCTTGGCAAACCCAAGTGAAAGTTAGTGGTGCTTGTAGACACTTTTTTTTATCTCAGCATATTATGGGGTACAAATTGTAAAGTTCATATAATGCCCTTATCCCCTCCCCCCACAAGTCTGAGCTTCAAGCCTGACCATCCCCCAGATGGTGCACATCTCACTCATTATGTATGTATATACCTGCCCCCTCCTCCCCGCTCCTTCCCGATCAGCTCCATTCTACTCTTACTCGACATTTTTTTATTTTTTTTTAAAAAGGAGATGGATTGCGCATAGTCTAGTGTGGGCAGGGGAGCTCAGAAAAATAATTATTTTTCTGTTTCATCCTGGGCAATTCTGTAGCATCTACATCTTCGTTCTTCATCTCTAAAACAAGGACAGCAATGGAACTTAGTTCATGGTGCTATTTCCAGGGTAGAATTAAACATACATGTCAACACACATGAGCAGCCTGCACCCCGAGGTGCTCAGGGAATCGCCACTCTGCTGTTGGTGATGTGTGACATGCTTACGCTGCGCAGTGCCCGTGTCTGCGGGCAGGATGGCCTGCTGCGTACGGCGAAAGAAAGCGTTACTGAGATGGGAATGACGCTCCTGGGAGAGAGATGGGCAGGGCGGGCTTGCCGGCGCATTTCAAAAGGAGAATCTCTCGACAGGTGCATTTGCAAGAATGTTGGAGGTGGGTGGAACAGCCAGAGAGGACCGAGCTGCCTTGACTGCAACTCCAGCCGGGCTACTTGTGAGTAAAGGGTCAAGGTTTTCTATAACTCTTATGTAGCAAAAAGTTGCAGATCTCGATCCTAATTGAGTCCCATAACGCGGTGTGATTTTTCCCAGATTGCTTTCGTTTTCACAGCCTAGAACAGTCCCCGCTCCACCCCCAGTCTCAGCCTCCTCCCCACCTCCCATCACCCAGGTCTGCACCCACTGCCAGCCTGGGCACCTGCCACACCGGGAAGCCGAGCGACCTGACACGTCCAGCCCGGCCCTGCGCACACAGAACGCACCTTTCCGTGTTCCCGCCTGTGGGTAGCGACGTTTCCCTGAGCCTTTCAACACCAGAGAAACCACTTTGCAGACGGAGGGGTTTTGCAGGAAAACGTCTACCCTGGGTGTCGTGTGCTCTGTTTCCTAAGCGTCTGCACGTTCCGAACCGGGGACATCTCACCTGAGAAACTCCCCAGCCTGGGGGCCGTGGCGTCCCCGCCATCGTGGATCTCCAGCGAGTCCCAGTTCTGCTCCGTGGCGAAGCTGATCACCTGGATCTGCCAAACCATGGCGTTGAGTTAGTGCTGTCTGTGGCCTGACAGCATGGGTCTGCTCACACAGGGGTTTTCGTGACTGATATACACACATGTGCATGGACATGGCAGAGGCAGAGGAAGCAGACCATGAAAGAACATTCAACAATCTCTACAAAGGGCGCTTTTGATAGTTTTTAGCCTAAAAAATGGATTATTTTGATCCCTAATATAGAAACATGATTATTAGAAACATGTAGAGAGAGTAAGAAAAGAGAAACAGATTATGGTCTATGTATTTAAAATAACCAATACAAAATAGGAAAGGAAAAAGGAAAGGAAAGGAAAGGAAAGGAAAGGAAAGGAAAGGAAAGGAAAGGAAAGGAAAAGAGAAAGAGAAAGAGAGAGAAGCCCAAGGCCCCCAGCTGACCCCTGCTTGTAGACCATGCACTTGGAGGACCCACCTGAATTCCTGACCCCTCCGTCACTATGATCTTCCACACACAGTTCAGGTTGTTGCCATATGGCTCAGGGTAGCCGGGGGACAGGATGGTTCCTCTCCGCTGGGTGAAGTTGCCGCTGCAGGGGACTGAAGGAGAAAACTATATTTCATAAAAAGAAAGTGCGATGAGGACAACATGAATTTGGCATTCAGTTTTCTTTTACCGTGGGATCAGATAACAAGAGAACCATTACATGTATATGACATGTTAAATGACATTTTTAGCCAAGACACAATTTAGTCCTTTCTCTTTTAAGTTGGTGATATCATTGGTTATTATCCACCATGTTACTAAGTTATAGATCTTGAGTCTATAAGGAAATCTTTTTCAATTCTCTAAGAAAGGGCTGCACCCAAAAATGGCATCTCGGAAGTGAGTTGTGTTTGGAATGATTTATCTACTGTAATTGCGGGGCCTTGGTAGAATATCCTCTTCTCTGTGTAGACATGCAACTCCAAGTGATATTAATGTGATTTATGAGCAAGTCCAGAGAGGAGACACTTAAAGTGTGCGAGTGAATGTGGGCGCTAACCATGATTGCACTAGAGTTTCCTACACAAAGGAAGCAAATAAAGTACAGCTAACAAGGTCATTGTTATTCAGGCTGCACTAACCTACTACTTTCCAGACATTCATCAGCCCCAATTTATTAAAAGGACATTATGTCAGTAATATTGCAAATCAATATTATAATGATTTTCCCCCCAAATGGAATGATGTTGTATATCCAAGACTTTAGAGCTGATGGCATCTTAATGGGCACTGAGAACAAAAACACACTGTATCCTGGTTAGGCTGATGAGTTGTTTTATGGGACACAATAACTTTTAGGGTTTGGCTACTACTCGATTATTTACAATAAAATAAATCGCTCTGATGCGGGTCACGCGTGTGATGGGCTGCTGTGGACCAGACAGACCAGCTCTAAGGCGTTGCTGAGCACTTCTGGTCACCCCCCCCCGCCGCCCGCGTGAGCTGCCACATGCAAGGACATGGCTTACCCACGCAGCTGGGGACCGTGTCATTCCACTGCGCCAGGGCGTTGGGCACTGACTGGCAGCGGAGCGCTGTGGAGCCCTGGAGCAGGTAGCCCGGGTTGCACTCGAATCGGACGATCGAGCCTGCAGAGAACTCAGAACCAATTCTCCTCCCGTATCTGGGCTCCGGCACAGAACTGCACTGGGTGTCGCTGGTCCGCGGAACGGCTGGGGACAGAACACAGAACACGGACATCTGCATCTCCACTGGGAAGTTGAGACACTGCCTCGAATCTGAGCAATGACGGACACTAACCGCTGCTAAGAAACCAAGGCTATAAAAATGCAAGTCGTGATATTGCTTTCATTCAACTATGCTTCAATTCAGTGTTGAAGTATTTTCTATCAGAAAGCAAAAGTCGATGAAATTTCACACCATCTAAAACCTATAGTGGGAAAAAATTAATGATATATTATAATTGATTTTTTCCATAAATAAAAGTGAAATATGGAATAACTATACTATTTGCATAGGCATAACAAGATATCTTGGGGACGGGATCCAACTCTGACCACAAAACTTAGTTTTGTTTAATATATGTCTTCCACACACAGCCCAAAGGTAATTTTATACAATAGTTTTAGTAGTTTTGTGCACGGAAGGAAGTTTTGACTACATTTTGACTGTGCCCCATCATGTGAGGTCAGGTGCAAAATCTTCCATTTGTGACGTCGTGTACATGTTGAAAAGTTTCAGATTTTAGAGCATTTCAGATTTTGGGTTTTCAGATGAGGGAGGTTCAACCCACATAATAAAATGCAGCTTCAATATTTGTTGTATTTATATGACTGAGTATTTTGTTGCAGTTGAACAATGGCATGAAGGGGAAAAATATGTCCTGTGGAGGCTTCCAGTCATTTCGGGGACTTTTTGCAAAAACAAGCATCACTAGTGGCCATGCTTCTGCTTTGATGGATTCCGTGGAAAGCTTCACTATTTTTGGCAAAGGTTCTGCTCGCCTAAGGGGCTTCACATGCAGCATCTCTTGCTTGTGCATTTACAGGACGTCGCTGTCATCCCAGGTCCCCAAAGATGAGGACGAGCACAGCATTGAGTCACTATTACAGCTTCCTCAGGAGTTCCCATTTTATTATTTTTTAATTATTTTATTTATTATTGTCATTCCCAAGGAACGTAACAATACATGAACAATACCTGGATAAAATCATGGAGAACGTTTTTAGAGGAAGAATTTTGGAAAGTAAAGAGAAGAAACTGATTTCAAGGACGTGAGAAGCGGGACAGAGAAGAGCCACGAAACCGAGACATCAAACCTCCGTGCAACATCCGGGGGAGGAAAAAACCAAACAATGACCCCCACTTTCCCTCTCAGCCGAGACGCGGTTCTCGCCCTTCAACCTGCACATTTCAGACGGCGCCAGAGAGAAATCCATTCTCTGCTGTGATTATTCTCTATTTTTGAGACTCTGTTTGGCACTGCTGTGAAACAAAATTGAAATCGGCCCAGCGGACAAGGGGGCAGGGAGCGAGGCCGGTCTGCGCTGGAGAGCCGTGCACGGAACCGTCCAGAGTGAGGGGCTTCTCAGGCCGGCAACCGCGCCGCTCCAGACACGGGCTTTCCTCTGGGCTTCGTGACTCGGAAGGCGGGGGCACCATGAACGTGCACGTGCCTTGCAGGGTAAAAACCCAGACACATAACGTGATAGATTTGCTAATGATTCCTTCAAGCACATGTGTTCTAATCCACGCACGTGCTGTGTCTCTCTTAGTGTAGGTGGGGCAGGAACAGCAACAGCAGCGATAGTAAAAAAAATCCGAATGCATGTCCGAATCACTTGCAGTATCTAAGCGAGTCAGTTCCCAGTTTCATTTAGTGACGGAGGGACATTTTCTATTTCTCAAATTCGTGTCTCTCCAGTAGTTGAAAATTTGAGTAAACATGCCAGGACTAGTCAGTGAATTCAAACATATATTGCTGAGTTACAAATGGAATTGACGTTCAGTCTTCTTCATAAAAAGTACACATTTTATAAGCCTTGATACAAAACGTGAGTTTCTTAGACGTAGAAAACTAGTTAAGCCTCACGATTCGTGCATCTAAAAGGAGAAACAGCCTGGGGAAAACCCACAGAAACATGTGCTTGCAGGCCCAGGAAGAACTTGAAGCAAAGACATTCTTAACGCACATTCTTTTGACCCAAACTTAAAAAAAAAGTATTTATATGTTTTTAGCTCTGTTTGTTTTTAAGAATGCTATTTAATTAAGTACATTAACATGTATGCTAAAAAAGAGAGAGAGTCTTGCTAATAGGAAGACCCTGGAAGAGTCTGGTAGACTGGGCGTAGTTGGGGGGGTGCCATCCCAGGTGTGGATGCTTGGAAAGCAGTACCTACCATGTTTCCCCGAAAATAAGACCTCCCCATAAAATAAGCCCCAGCAGTATTTCTAAGCATTTGCGCAACAGAAGCCCTACCCCGAAAATAAGCCCTAGTGACGGGCGTGGCTACGCAGCGCGTCTGCACAACCCATGCGTGTCGTTGCTGAGCAGTAAAGAGGACGAGCAGCCCTTCTCGTCTGCCCCATCATGACAGCTGCCATCCAAGAGGTGACAGAAAGGTGCGGCAGCCCCACCCACAAGGTGGGCTCCCCCTGTCGGTCCCGGCCCCCCGTGCGTGCTGCGAGCTGAGGCTTTGAGGGGAAGTCTCCTCAGTGCAGTGAGGAGGGGACGCCCCGCTTTAGGTATTGTGTGTCCCCAGGGGGGAGAAGGAAAGCTGTGGCTGCCATTTTACTCATTTTACTTTTAAATATTTGAATGAATGTAGATTGTTTTACCATACTTAAAAAAAATAAAACATCCCCTGAAAATAAGCCCTAGGGTGTCTTCTTGAGGAAAAATAAATATAAGATCCTGCCTTATTTTCGGGGAAACACAGTAGGTTAGATCTGTCATCCCAGCAGACACGGCTTGGACAGGCAGTGACAGGACTAATGGACATGTATAAACTGAGAACTGTGCGATGTATGAGGTAAAAATAAATGGCTTCCTTTTCTCCCTGAAATAGATAGTAAATCCTTACAGTTTGCTAGTTTTGATGTGAGGGCATTATTTTGAGAAAACTGAAAGTGGCATTGAACTCTACATTGAAACCCAAAAGAAAAATAGGGAATGTGTGGAACTAGACAGGCATAAACACAAGAGCGTTAGAAATAGTCATACGCTGTCTTATCGAAAAATGGCGGAGTAGAGGTGACTCTCCGGACTCCTGCTCCCAGACAAGGAGACACAGATCGTGGTCTCCTACACGCGAGTCAATCTCCCCACTACAAGGACAGCATTGAGAATCCGCAGAGGAGCAACACAGAACTCCCATAAAAGGATAAACAAGGTGATCGGGAAATAAGATTGTGTTCTCTGGAGAGTGCAAAGCAAACAATAGGGTGTGTGGAGGGGCGCCGGCCGCCGCCAGGTGTTGAAGTGGATCAGACCCACAGAGAACTCCTTGCTTCCCCATTGACCTCCACACCCACCCAGCCAGAGACCTGTCTGAAACTGGTGCGAAATTGCAGCAGGAGAAGAAGTGCTGGAGGGTCGGTTGATGGTGAGAGGCGGCAGCATGGTCTCCCATGAGCCCCATGCTAGGACGGCTCCAAGACGGGAGGAAACTGATCTGCGTGGACCGGGAGGCGGTTAGAGGTCTCGCTCTGGTAACCTGCGTGACTAAGCGGGGCTCTGAGCTGGAACTACCCGGGAGAATAAACCGCAGAGGGGCTCAGTAAAAGCATGGCTCCGACTGAACAGGCATGCGGGCGGCGGTGTGGAGGAACCTTCGGGATCCTATTGACCCAGGCCCCAACCGGCACCGGCTGCACCCTAATCAGTCGCCCCAGTACTGGTGCCCTACGATGGGCTAGCGATCGCCATTGAGGGGGTCCACAGCCCAGCCGCAGCGGCAAGCACCGCCCCCGCCCAGAGTAGAGTCTCTCCTGGCAAATCCGCCCCTACACAATCTGCGATGGCTCATCAGGCTTGGTTCCATCAAGGATCTACTGAGAAGTCTAGCAGCCAAGGGGAGACACAGCCACTGGGGCACCAGGGTGCAGGGCAGACTGGGGAGATAACGCCTCCCCTCAGCCTGCATCTCTCTTGCCCAAAGTGGTAGGCTCCACCCCTGGAGGCGGGGCAAGACAAGAAAACCCACTTTCCCCAAAAGCTACCCCTGTCAGGGAACCTTCCAAGTGTGGTGGAAGAGTCCCCGATGACTGATCAAGAAACTACAAAAAGTAGTCGACTGAGCTCTAGCAATTGACCCAGATGGGGAGGACCCAACGCAACTCAAAACATCAAGACGAAAATACGCCCCAGGATACACAAATGTCATACACTAAATGACAGAAGAAGAATTCCAAAATTGATTGATAAAAACTCAATGAAATGCAAGAAAATGGATAATCAACACAAGAAACCAAAGAAGATACAAGAATTGGAGAAAGATCACTAAGGAGATTGACATCTCGAAGAAGATCAATCAGATACCCTCGATATGAAGAATTTATTCAGGGAAATTCAAAACATAGTGGAAAGCCTCAAAAATAGGGTGGACCAAACAGAAAAAAGAATCTCAGAGCTGGAAGACAACTCATTGAAATCAAATAAGTTAATCACAGAGCTAGAGCAGAAAAATAAGAGACATGAGCAAAGCTTATAAGAATTGTGGGATTATACGAAGAAAAATAACCTGCAGGTCCACTGGATTCCAAAGAAAGAGGAAGAAAAACCCAAGGGATAGATAAGCTTTTTGAAGAAATAACTGAGGAAAACTTCCCAGGTCTAACCAGTAACCTAGAATTAGGAATACAAGAGGAACAAAAGAAACCCTGGAGATGCCAAGCAAAACCAGGGAAAAACCACCACGGCCATGTAGTCAATTCAGACTGACCTAAATATCAACAAAAGAGGACCCCTCTACAACGCGGTGAGGGGCGGAAGGAACAGATTTCCACATATTAAAGAAAACCCAATCCGATAAACTTCCAGATTTTCTCAACTTGAAAAAAACAATTAACAAGGCAAGGAGGGGAATGGGGGACCCCACACTTTCCAACCTCTTAAAAACAAAATAACCGCGGCCGCAGGATCTTGTGTCAGCAAAATAAGCTTCATATGAAGGGGAAAGAAATTTTAAAAAGGGACATTCTTCGATAATA